AGGAAGAAGAGAGGAGAGACTGAGGGAGACACCTGAGGCCAGAAGCCAGGCAGCCAGACATAGAGAGAGCAGGAGAGTAAAATCTACATCAAGAAAAGGTCAGAAGTCCCAAGGAAAACTCGATGAAGAGAAACAGGTTAAGTTAAAGAGCTAGTTAGAAATGAGCCTAAGCTAGGCCAAGCACTCATAAATAATGAGAAGTCTCTGAGCCATGGTTTGGGAGCTGGTTGGTGACCCAAAAGAAAAGGTCTGGTATATTTCCTTTTCATTCATTATGCTTATTCATTATGATGGAATGAAAGACTCTTACAGCACAAACTTGCTTTATATAACAGTATTAAAACTGGGGCAGTACAAGAAATATTTGCCAGCAAATCTGACAACCTGGTCCTATAAGGCTCACATGGTAGCAGGGGGAACCGATCTCACAAGTTGTTTTCTGACCTCCACACCCATGCTGAAGAACACGGACCACCTATATGTCCCCAAAATACACAGACAGACAGACAGACAGACACACACACACGTAATAAACACCCAGCATCCTGAAATTAGAGAGAATACAGAGAGTGCATTTTTGCACCATTTCCTTTCTTACTTCTTTCAGTTTTTCCGGCCATAGTCCCAGACAGTGCTGGCTGCATCTGGCCAGGCGTTCATCCCCACACTAGACCAGGAAACTGACTAAGCTCACACAGCTGAGGTATAAACAGCTGGATTCCAAGTCCGGGGATGATGGACCCAAGGTTTATTCTTCAGATTTTCATCCAGGAACGGGGAAGAGGGAGAGGATTCCTCTTTCTAGTTATGCATTCTCAGGGCAATAGTTCCTTTCATTTGGCAAGTGAGGCTTAATTCATTGTCTGCACATAAAATACCAGATATGTATCAATTCAGTCCAATAAAACCTGGCTGTTAGCACAGTGCACATCTCCCCGATTCAGCTGAAGCTCATTTCCCCATAAATTTCAATGTGGATACAGGAAATTGTACAGACTCACTCCCACAACTTAGCTCCTCCTGCAGACCTATTCTTTTCTCTTGCTCTCACCTTTGGCACTGTGGATACTGAAACCCGGGACCTGCACGTACACGCTGGGCAAGTTCTCGACCACTCAGCTGCCCTGCCAATCCCTTTTTATTTTTTCTATGAAAATATAGAAAAATATTTCAATCTTACTAATTTGGGGATATGATAAAAAGGTAGACTTATTAGACACAAAGAATTTTGAATTATATACATAGATACTATATATTTAAATTCACACAATAGTAAGTTACTATCATTTTTACTTTGGAAAAGAATCTAGAACTGCTCTGTGGTAGTTTGAAATAACATTTCTGAAGATCCATCAGATGCTGGGTATTATATAATTTAAGGACCTTACAACAGAGGTACACACTATGGTCTGAATGTATCCCCAAGCTGTCTGCTGAAGCTTAATTACTAGGGTGACACTGTTAGTTGAGGGCTTTCTGGGGAGATCTCTGGAGGCAGAGCTCTTGGGATTCGTGCTGTTGAAAAACATGCAGAAGGAAACTGCTTTGACAAGTAAAGACCTAGTAAGAGACAGGAAGCGGGCCCTTACCAGACGCCAAACTTGCTGGCCATCCATCAGGATTTGAAGAAATAACTCTCTGTAGTCATAAGCTGGCAAGTCTACAGTATTCATTTTACTAGCAGTCCCAAAGGAACACAATTCCTCATCAGATTAAACCTTTTCAGTGTACACTGATAACTTCAAAATTGCTTAGTATCATCTTAGCAAATAAATACTTATTAGCCTCTTCAGTCTTGCACACACCATTAACTTAGCAAGCAAACTGTCATTTGATTCACCCTGCTCTAAACAAAGCAAACAGACAAACAAACAAAAACTTGAAAGCTCAGAAAGCTGAGCTGCCCAAGTCCTCATCGCTCTGGAGACTCTCTGCAGCTCTGTCTCCTATGGTCAACTCCATGTTACTTGTCTTTCTTTACAGGAGGAGGAGGGTTCTGACTCCCAAATCCTTTACAACATTAAATGATTTCCTCTGGACCCTACTCCATTTCCTTTCTGTTCCTTTAAACTGGCAATAAAGGCCCCACCAGAGCTGCAGCAGTAACAGCACTGTTAATAACAGCACTTGTAACTGCAACGAATGCCATGCACACCGTCCAGTTTGTGGATTGTTGTTACTCCCATCTACTACAAGAAGCAGCCTCGGGAGGGCTAGCGCATGCTTTCAACAGCTGAGCATCCAAACAGCATTGTGTACGCTGTGGTGAGGGACTATATAAATGGTGACATCACTGGGGCAGTTTGTAAGAGAGGGAGAGGCATCATGGGAAGCCAGGAGGGCAGAGAGTGATTCTGGGGTTAGTCTCATTTGTTTTCTGTTTAATCTCTTTGTGGTGCTGAGGATGGAACTGAGAGCCTCAAGAACGGTAGGCAAGCACTCTACTACAACTCCATCCCAAGTGCATTTTTTTTTCTTTTAGTTCTTAAATTGTATTGAAAATATGTGTGTGTACACATGAATCCAGATACCCAAAGAGACCAGAGGCAGCCAATCTCCCTGGTGCTGATATCACAGTTGGTAGGGAATGATCAGATATGGGTACTGGGAACCAAATTCAGGTCACCTGGAAGAGAAACACCCCTGAACCATCTCCCTAGCACCAAAGCTTATATTTTTATAAGAACACAGTTTCAAGAAAACTAACTCCAAATCCATAGAAGTGCCTTAATCTTCTCAGAGAAGTACCCAGTGATTGACCGATTTGAACCCCCTTTTCAAAGGACAATATGGGAAACCTTACGACATTTGAACCCTGTGTGACACACGAATGATATCAAAACCCCAGCAGGTCCACATCTGTTTAATCCGCACACAGCCTTTGCAGGCAGTCTCTAAGGCTGAACCTGTGACTTGTGCGGACTTCTCTCAGTGGACGTCTTAGCCTTTTCAGTTACTGGCCTTGCTTCAAATCTGCTCAGGTTACCATAAGCGAACTCACGTGAAACACTGTTGTGTTACGGAGCAGCGTGCTGTGTCCCGCCACCCGGCTAGCTTTACCCGAAATAATTACACGGAAACTGTATTCTTTTAAACACTGCCTGACCCATTAGTTTCAGTTTCTTATTGGCTAGCTTTTACATATTGATCTAACCCATTTCTATTAATCTGTGTAGCCCACGAGCTGGCTTACCAGGAATGATCTTAACCTGCGTCTGTCTGGAATGGGAGAATCATGGCGACTCCCTGACTCAGCTTCTTTCTCCCAGCATTCCGTTCTGTTTACTCCGCCTACCTAAGGGTTGGCCTATCAAATGGGTCTAGGCAGTTTCTTTATTAATAAGAAATTACTCCCACATCAAAACACTTGACAACTGGAAGAGCAAGGAAACCCAAAGAGGATGCTGCTGAGGACTCCTCAGCCAGTGGCACATAAGACACAGAGACACACAAGAAGATCTCCCCCTTTGGAAGGCAGAACAAAAAAGCCAGATAGGAAGAAAGAGCTATTAGGTAGGAGAAGAGTATGCAGCATCAGGAGAAAGTACAAGGAAGGGCTGAAAGGTGGTGGGAAGGGTGTTCAGCTGTACTAGTGCCCAACCTGAAAACAAAACTATCCTCGAATACCAGTGTTCCCAGTGGTGGAGAGGTCTCACTGATGGTAATTAGCAGCGAAGGGAAAAATAACAACCATTTTCATCTTGAAAAGGCAGTGAACATTCTTTCAGCCCTAAAGTTTCCCCTAGAGTCAACCGTTTTACTTGTTGTGCAGCACTGGAGATGGCCTTGAGTATTCCAGGCAAGTGCTCTACCTCCTCTGAGCTGCATCCCCAGCGCATACTGATTACGTTCAAAAATTTTGGTTCATTTATTTTATTTAATGTGCACAAGTGTTCTGTCTGCATATTATATGTACAATGTTCACACCTAGTGCCCAAGGAGCCCAGGAAGAAGGAATTGGGCCTCCTGGGACTGGAGCTGCCATATGGATGCTGGGAACTGAACCTGTGTCCACTGCAAGAGCAGCCAATGCTCTTATCCACTGAGACATCTCTCCGGCATGTCATTTTAAAGTTTTGAAACAAAACAATGATGGAGGTAGATGTTTTATGGTGTTCATATGAAAAATGGTAATGGAAGCATAAAGGAAAGACACCCAGAAATACTTAACAAACTTGGTTACTTACACCACCTACAAATTATTTAATTTTAACTAACATTTCAGTTAAATAACAGAGACTTAAACAAGCCTATCTCTTACGGGTATAGAAAACTGGCTGCAAGATGTACAGATTCCCAACTCTTCCTGACAAGCACTGTCGGAGCTGATTGGCGAGGTGGCTGCGTGTGGAATCCCAAACACTGCAGAGATGGATTTCCTAAGCTACATTTCTCACTAGCACTTTTTTTCCTAAATGAAAATGTCTTGTGCAGCAGGCTGGCCTCCAGCTCTCTGTGCACACAAGTATGACCTTGAACTTCTGACCCCGCTCCCAACCTCTGCCAATTGCTAGAATTATACGCATATACTACTGTATCTGGTACTGAAGATGAAGCCAAGATCTAGCATATATGAGCAAGTGATCTAATACCTAAAATACCCACAACCCTCATCAGCACTCCTGAAAGATGCCCCTACACTTTTCTATGTTCTCTGACTACTGGATCTTTCAGAAAGACAATAATAACTAGTGAATGAAAAGCCATGGTGAAATAGTGAAGGACTCCATTGCATTTCTACAGAAAAATAGCATCTAGCATACAGACACTTCTATAGGAGCTGAGATTTAAACAACAAGAAACTCAACTACCAATTCCATGTTGTAAAACATGGAAAACCAAGAAGAATCTTGTGGAGTTCAAACACTCCACAGTTTTCTTAAAGTAACCGAAAAGCAAAGTGTGGAATACAGTGACTTTGTTAGACAAAACAAAAATAAAACAGTCTTTTGCCAATAATGGTCTCTGCAGAAGAGACTGTATATTTAGGAAAAACTTACCTAATAAAAACCAGTTTGACCCTGGTTGGGGCAGTTTTAATAATGGCAGATGCATTTTGATGACTTCTTCCATAAAGGATCTGATTGTTTATCTGTTTGGGAAAAAAATAAAATATACTTGTAAAAATACAACCCATATATTTTACACAATGAATAAATTATATATTATATATAATATATATTATAAAGTACATGCTTGGGATTAAACAATAAAGTCTTCACTTTTAATCATGTGTATAGGATTCATTAATAGTAACAATCTCAATATTCTTCATACCACACATTACCAATGTAATTTTAAGCTGTGAAAAGTCTCCTAAACTCTGCTGTGGCTACGGGGAATAAAGGACTCAACTCCTTGGCCCTGTGGCTAAACTTTATAAGAAAGGTAGTTGAGCTCATTGCAGATATGGCAGATATTTCATATTCTATGACTTTTCCAGATTCCTAAAGAATGTAGGAAACAGACCAAACTGTAGTATATACAGAGCTCTGGAGGGCCCATTTAACACTATGCTGCAACTGTGTTGTGGTTATTACATAGAATAAATCATTACCACAGGAGATATATATTATATGCCTGTTTTAAGTTGAGTTTTAGGTCAACATTACAAAGTACATCTTACTGATAACCAATGAGTCATCTGTTCCTGTCTAAGGTGTACTGGAATTATAATTTGACTAAAGTCACCTAAATATGATAGAACAGTAGATCTAAACTGTTTTTATTTCGGGTCCTCCCACTGATATGTTATATAATAACTACAATTATTCCCTCTATCATCTAATTCTATTCTCCCCATCTGTTTGGTAAGGAACTAGTGACTTGTAATGTTATGTTATCCCTATGTAGCCTTGATAACTTCTACAGTCTTAGGGATGGTACAGTACACTTAATTATATGCAAGGGGACTGTAGTCTTTCCAAATCGGTGCTTAATCCATCTGCTCTTGATGTCTCTGTAAGGCTGAATCTGAAGACACAATTGACATCTCTTTGAAAACATTGTTTCATCACAGTGGTTACATCCAGAAAGCAAAAGGGAAACAAACATTTCAAATAGTCATGGAAATACTTCTAACTGTGTTAAAGGGAGCCAGTCCATCCCCATGCCTAGGGAGGTACAGCCCCTGGCTATCAGGCAGCTTTTATTCTGTCAGGTTTTATTCTTGGCTGAGATCATTAGTCTCAGAGAAGTGCACTGACTCCCACACACCTAGTTATCTTTGACGCGCTTTCCTATGCTCTAAAGTGGTCCTGAGAACTGTAAGAAGAAAGCTGTCACAGATCATGGAATCTCTTGATACCTGAAGGAATGTTCCCTTCATATATTCAGACACTCATCTTTTTTGCTGTTAAACTTTAATATTCATACATTTAATAAGGTGGTTATACCCCAGATTTCCAATACTAATACAAATGTACAAATACTTTCATGCTTTCACTTTTCATACAGACATGCGCGTGCATGTGCGCGAACACACACACACACACACACACACACACACACACACACACACACACACACTGTGGGGGAGCACAGACAGAAAGACACACTGTTTCCTTTCTTTGTCCTTCTGCTTTCCTGTGTTTCCATCCTGGTGCTAGAGAGTAAACTCAGGCCCTTTCACACACTAAATATGGACTGCAAGGCAAACAGCTGCACATCCAACCTAAACAACATCTTCTCCAACTTAGTCACCAGCCAAAGGTTCTAAGAGTCACGAGAAGAGCTCTGACAGATCAATGCCATGGCTGCCATTGCTGCTGCTTCCTGCAGTACCAGCAACTGTGGCCTTGAGTGTGGGGGCAGTTGCCTCTTGGCAAAGCTTAGGAAGGGTTACACAGTGGAAAACTGGGAACTGAGCAAGCAACTCAAGACACAGGGAGAACTTTACTAAAGTAAATCTAAAGGAAAACTAAGATCTCTAGACAAAAACCAAAACAACTAAAAGGCTACAGTAAATTCTTCTTTCTGGCTTTAAAAATGATATAACCAGGGACCAGTGAGATGGCTTAGTGAGTAAAGACACTTGCCATGTCTGAGGATCTGAGTTTGATACTGGGACCCAACATACACTCACTCACAAGCTGTTCTCTAACCTCTGTACACATAGGTACTCACACACACACACTCTCTCTCTCAACTGCACAAGTCTGTATGTAAATTAGAGCACTAATCAATGGGATTGGTATCATCACAAGATGACACATGATTCAGTGTGGTAGTTCATTCCTGTAATCCCAGCACTGACAAAACTAAGGCAGGAGGACTGTGAGTTTGAAGTCAGCCTGGGCTATACCAGGAGGCTCTGCTCAATATAGGGAGTGAGAAGGAACATTGTCAAACTCTTTTTATGAGGCTACAATTACCCTGATACCCAAACCACATAAAGACATTACTAAGAGAGAATTACAGACCAATCTCATTCATGAACATTGATGCAAAAATACTCAAATAAAATACTGGCAAATTGAATTCAAGAACACATCGGAACCATCATCCACCATGATCAAGTCAGCTTCATCCCAGAGATGCAGGGATGGTTCAACATTTGAAAATCTGTCAACCTAATCCACCATATAAACAAACTGAAAAAATAAAAACCACATGATCATCTCATTAGATGCTGAAAAGGCCTTCAACAAAATACAACATTCCTTCATGATAAAGGTCTTGGAAAGAGCAGGGATACAAGGAACCTCATAGAAAAAAAAGTGAGAAGTACACTTGAGTGCATTGGCATAGGGAACCACTTCCTAAATATAACCCCAGCAGCACAGACACTGAGAGAAACAGTTAATAAATTGGACCTCCTGAAACTAGAAAGCTTCTGTAAAGCAAAGGACATGGTCAACAAATGACAGCCTGCAGAATGGGAAAAGATCTTCACCAACCCCACATCAGATAGGAGTCTGATCTCCAAAATATACAAAGAACTCAAGAAATTGGTCATCAAAAGAACAAATAATCCAATAAAAAAAAAGGAGTACAGACCTAAACAGAGAACTCTCAACAGAGGAATCTAAAATGGCTGAAAAACACTTAAGGAAATGCTCAACATCCTTAGTCATCAGAAAAATGAAAATCAAAACAACTCTGAGATTCCATTTTACACCTGTAAGAATGGCCAAGATCCAAAACACTGATGACAACTTCTGCTGGAGAGGTTGTGGAGAAAAGGGAACACCCCTGAATTACTGGTGGGAGTGCAAACTGGTACAGCCCCTTTGTATATTATGTGGTGATTTCTCAGAAAATTAGGAAACAACCTTCCTCAAGACCCAGCAATACCACTTTGGGTATATATCCAAAGGATGCTCAACCATGCCACAAGGACATGTTCATAGCAGTATTGTTTGTCATATCCAGAACCTGGAAACAACCTAAATGTCCCTCGACTGAAGAATGGATAAGAAAAATGTGGTACATTTACACAATAGAGTACTACACAGCAGAAAAAAATGACAGCCTGAATTTGGCAGGCAAACAGATGGAGCTAGAAAACATCATTTGAGTGAGGTAACTCAGACCCAGAAAGACAATTATCACATGTACTCACTCATAGGTGGTTTTTAAACATAAAGCAAAGAAAACCAGCCTACAAACCACAATCCCAGAGAACCTAGACAACAATAAAGACCTTAAGGGAAACATACATGGATCTAATCTACATGGGAAGTAGAAAAAGACAAGATCTCTTGAGTAAATTGGGAGCATGGGGACCTTGGGAGAGGGTTAAAAGGGAGGCGAGAAGCAGAGAGGGGAGCAGAGAAAAATGTAGAGCTCAATAAAAATCAATAAAAAGAGAGAGAAGGGAGAGAAAGGAAGGAGTGAACTATGAGGTATGTGTGTGTGTGTGTGAGAGAGAGACCTCTCTGGCATTTGTTATAGCTGCCCAAAGTGACAATGGAAATTGCTTGAACTAATTTCTGCTCTTTGAAATGCAAAACTCCAGTGGTGCAGTTTCTTGTCATTCTATGTATCTACGTTAACTTTAACTCTCTTTGCTGTCTCAGAGTCTGATACCCAGGTCTTTGCCTTGACACACGCAAAGAAGAAAAAGGAAACAGACTTTCTGTCCACAGGAAATTTCTATGAGATACTTACTATTATTATTTTGGTGTTGGGGATTGAACCTAGGACCTCACACATGCCAAAACGGTGCTCTTCCATCTAGCCATATCCCCAACCTAATCTTTCTCTATGACTATGTCCTTGTCTGTCTGCCTACCCCCCCCCCCCATTTAACCATTTATTTAGAGACAAGGTCTCATCATGTAGCCTAGGCTGGCTTTGAACTTGTCATGTGATCCAGGCTGACTTTGACAGTGTGATGCTCCTGCCTCAACCTTCTGAGGTTGAAGGCTGTGATTAAAGGTGTTCAACATGTCTGGTGCCTTCTATGTGCCCGACCAGCCATTCTCGCTTTCTGAATTGCTTTTGGGTTCCTCTTCTTATCATTGACAATGAGGGACTTCTGTGACTCTCTAGATATTATTTCTGTCTTAGCTCTTGACCCCTGGCAATAACAGATATATTTGGGTGAGTTAATTTTCTCCCAGGCTCTGAAATTCAAATCCCATTCATGAACAAACTAAAGCAACTCTGGGTTCCAAGGCCCCAGACAAGAGCCACGCCTGCGTTTCCAAGGCTGGGGGCAGTACTGCAGGTTTCCACGCACATGATTTCCCCTCAGGGTCGCCCTCTGCCTCTCGGGGGAGAAAGAACAAAACCTTAATGTGAGGACAATCCTGTGTAGAGTGGGATAATTAGTTCAGTATTGGTAGTCTGCAGCAGAAGCAGAATTACGGTTAATCCAGTGAAGAATAAGCCAAAGTAAATGGATGTAAATCCTCTCAAACACTGCATAGACTTTCGCTTTAAACGTCTTTAATGAGATTGGTTTTAATCAAATTAACTATGCAAAAATATTAAAGAGAAAAGTTTTCAACTACTCCTAATTTCACACAGTTCGTCTGAACAGGAGTATAAATTTATGCTGAAAAGCAGCTCAATTAATCTACTCAATGTATCAAATTGGGAGTAAAAGTTAATTAAGCTAGGGTTGAAAATATTAATTAGACAAAA